ACACAGACGCAGGCACGTGCGCGTGTGCACAGGCAGACAGACACCATGCTCTGAGGATAGCCAAAGACCAAGAAATACTCAGAGGTACTGATAAGGAAGGATTCAATACAGCCGAGACCTTGAATTCAGACCCTTGGCTTCTAGAACTGTGAGAAAATAGAAAATAAACTTCTCGAAGGAATTCCGGTTGGAGCAGCATGAGGAAACTAAGAGAGCGGTCTTATCCCATATTACCCTTTAATTTATCCTTTACATATTGTAACTGTGCCTGCAAGAGCGCTCTGAAGAACCATAACTCACTGTATCAACGTTACCTCTTCTTTTAGCATCAATAGTGTGAGAATCAGGGGCTGATGGCCCACAGCTACATCTCAAGAACTATTTTTATCTTTGTTGCCTAGGATACATATACTCAACAAACATTTGTGAATATTGATGAGAATTCTTTTAAGTCTCAGTTCCTCCCTGAGTGTCCACTATGGACGGACATCTGTGGGAAACAGAAAGATTTCTCCCAAGGCGTTTCCCCCAAATAGATGTTAGACTGAGGACACTGCTTGCAGCTAATGGTAAATGATTGTCAAGTTACCTCCCTGAAGGCAGTCAGCTGCCAGACTACTGTCTGGTCCCACCACAGGTAGGGCCCACTCCCTGCTGTAAGGACAATGGGCTACTAGGAGAATGGCATTCATAGTTCGGTGGTAGCATTCTTGCCTTCCATACAGAAGACCCAGTCTTGATTCTCAGCCAATGTACCCGAAGGGCAGCAGCCACGTGTCTTGTTAGTGAAGGTGTGTGTGATACTGAATGATGTTGAATTAGATTTCCCCAGAGTTTCCAGGAACCGAGAAGAAAGTCCTGGGCGTGTACACTAAAAATCAGACTGACTCTCTCTCTGTATATATCTATCTATATATATATCTATATATATCACAACAGTCCAATCTGTAACAGATCATGAAAATGCAACATTGTATTCCATTGTGCATGGGGTCACCATGAGTTAGGGTATTAGACAAACCTGGGTCTATCACATGGAAGATGAGGATTTTAACCACTATTTTTAGTTTGTAAGCCATTTCACCACTTTTACAAACATATCGTGGGGACATTCACTTACTGCCACTGAGTCAGTTCTGCAGTTTAGCCACCCAATTGGGCAGGTGAAACGGCCACGGCAGGTTTCCGAGACGAAATCTTTAAGGGGGTAGCAAGCCTTATTTTGGCCTTGTGGAGTGGCTGGTGGATTTGAACTGCCAGTCTTGTGGTTAGCAGTCCTGCTCATAATGCACTACACCACCAGGATCCTTCTGACCGCATCGGTCATCACGATTTCTAAGAGAACCCCAGGAAACAGATGCCTGGGACACCTTCCAACCTCGTCCTCCATTTCAATGCATTTCTGGTGGACTACTTTCTCCAGAAAATGCCATTTACTTGTTTGTGAAGGTAGCATAGGCTTCGGAAGAGAGGAGTCACGTGAGAGAGAAAAAATGAAGTCAATCCCAATTGCCGGTATGAACTCTGCCCCCTTGTGCCTACCTTTTGCTGCACACTTGGGCTTTGGGGGCCAGTACTACCAGTGGCGCGCTGGCTACTGTCTGCCGGGGCCCCAGGGAAAGGGGGCTGGAGGCTGGGAGGCTTCGGGGAGAAGCCTGGAAGACGGTGATCATGGACTCCTGAGTTCTGCAGAGAAGGAGAAGCAACAGAGTTAGGTGGCCAGCAGCAGCACTCCTGCGTATGGCCTCTGTGTGGCCTCTGCTGAGACCTCTGGTCCCTGACAGTGTCTTATCATTCTAAAAACAAGAAAACCCTAAAGCCAACTCTTGTTGAGTAGACCCCAAATTGTAGGGAACGCACATGTCTAAGAATACAGCTGTGCACCATGGGGGTTTCAATGGCTGATCTCTTGGAAGTAGATCAGGAGACCTTACGTTCTAGGTGCCTCAGGGTGGCCTTGAACACCCAACCTTTCAGTTAGCAGTTGAGTGTGTCAACTGCTTCTACCACCTGGGCACACGTTTTTCCCCTCTGCTCCCATAAGAATTTATTGCCTTAAAAACCCAGAGTCAAGATAGATAACCCCTTAGAAACAGTAACTGGGAGTAATGATTCCCTGTGGGTACAGGAAAAGGAAGGGGTAGGAAGGGGGGGACCAATAGCAGTGATGACTGTATAATCCTACTGGAGGGGAACGGAGAATAAAATTATCCATGAACAGTGGGTATTGTGAGTATATACACTCAGACCTCCCTGAATTTCACTGCTGGAGAATGTGCTTAAAAATCTGTCTCTGCACATAACATTGAGTATTTAAAGACGCACAATAATTCCCACATAGTCATGGTGTAGAGTCCCCCCTTCTCATCAGGAGAAGAGTTCAAAGCTCTTCACAATTGGTGCTATTTCCTTCTTCAAACTTAAATTCTATTACTTCTCTCTTTCTCTGAAATTTCCCTTCTGGGCAAGCTGGCCTCAACAGACCTGGACATTAGACTTTTCTATCTTTGTTCACATCATTGGCCCTCCTAGGATGCCCCCACCCCCACCCCCGCTAGTTTTTAAATACTAAAGCCAGTTGCTAACTGAGGTGTTTCAAACTTATGGCAATCCCAGGTGTCAGAATAGAACTAGGCTCCATGGGTCTTTCAATGGCTGTGATATTTTGGAAGTAGTTTACCAGGTCTTTCT